GAAGCCATAGCCACCGAGACACCGGCTGATGCAGCATCATACTTCACAGACGGCTCGGTGGACCCAAAAACATCATAGAACCGGAGCGGCCTTCTACACCCAAGGTCAGACCCTCCTATGGAGACTTTCCAATGACTGCCCCACCCTACAAACAGAGTTGGTAGCAATCTCAAAGGCCCTACACACGCTGCAACACAACACAGCAAGTCCATCATAATTCACACGGATTCGAAAAAAGCCATGCAGGCGCTGCAACACAGTCAACCAAGAGACAACGTCCACATCATAACCTCAATCTTCGCACAGCTACAGGATTTCCAATGACAAAATAGCCCAGTCGTCTTACACGGGATTCCCAGTCACGTAGGGAGTACAATATACATTAAAGAAAAAGTATTGGAATTTTTTTAATGCAGTATTTACATTGTGATGTCCCTCCTTGCTTCCCACAACAAAAAACAAAGTTGACAAGTAAAAAATACAGTGAATAATCTAGAGGTTGAATTACGTGGATGCAGCAAGTAAGGAGCACACGCACAAGAATCACGGTTTGTGTCAGACAAATTTAAGTTATGAAAAGGATAAGATTATCATGTAAACTAACTAATTCAATAACATTTATATTAAGTATTGATTAAGTTAGTTAATTAGATACATTAACTAACACAAGTAAAACGAAATATGCAATTATCAAAACAAAAGTAACAACTATACGTTTGTCAAAACACGCCAGAATATTACCCAATTATTCTTACTTTATACATTAAATACTCATACAACACAAATACCTGATATAAATGGCAGCTCATGTAGCAAGTCCCTGTTGCGATGGCCAACCACAAGGACCCAGGGATCACCGCCGTAGTCCACTACCATCAAACCATCACAACACCACCAGCAGTAGTCCTTAATACAATTCACCGACCACACCCCGGGAGAAGAGGAACACCGTACGCCGCAGAGAAAAGACTCAGCTTACCAGGCAGACACACTTACCTCGATACCTCGGTCTCATAGTCAGATGGGAAACTGGTTTGAAACGGAACTCACGGGGTCGAGTAGCTTCGTGAAACAGTTTCTTCTCCTGGTGTCAAGTTGGAGCAAGTGATGGTTATGGTGGTAGAGTGAGGAGGGAACAGAGGCGTCACAACATACTTAAAAGACAATATGCACGGACTCTGGTAAACAGTTTGCCGTTGGCATCCTCAGGATTTTTCCACAAATTTTCCACGGGATGTGAGGGGGAGGGGGGATGCAGGGGGTGTTCCAGGGGTCCGGACACCTCCTTTTCATCAGAAAATTCCAATACTTTTTCTTTAATACAGTATTGTACTCAGGCGTTTTTGTATAGTAAAAAGTAACTACTATTGACCTCAGAATATGTCCTAGCTTAAAAATGGCCTCAAAATGCCAATGGTAATGGTCTGATTAAAAAAATATATATAGGGGGGGAAGCTTACAGCACCCCCTCCCCAAGCCCCCATCTGGGTCGACTCGCTGTGCTCGCCATGTTTCCCCACCCACAACTTTTTGGACTCTTCCTTTGATATTCCTGGATCCGCCTTTGGGTGGGGGGGGGGGGGTGGCATGTGTGTTAAATGACAGATACTTCTTACATTTACCTTTATTCTGTTCGCCACTTAACGGCTCGTTAGTCGCTTGGGCGATCGGTCACGTCTCTGTCACGCACTGTTGGCAAGTACTGGGCATGCACCGGCTCCTGAATGTACCTGAACCTGCTCCAGTGTTGGTCAAGTCTGGTCTTGAAAGAGCTCACACTCGGTGACGTGACCACTCTCTCTGGCAGAATGTTCCACGAATAATACCATTTACTCTGTTTTAAACTTCGACGTCAATAATACCACAATATATCGAAAACAAAAGAAGGGATAAACTGAGGTAGAGTCTAAATAAAACAACGACTTGAGGTGTATTAAAGGATTTTATTACAGACTAAGTAATAGTTTTTAGGTGGCACGAGAACTGCCTACTGCGTCTGGGACATATGTACACAAGGGGTAAACAAACAAACAAACAAAAATGACCTCTATAATATGTACACAAACGGGTGGCTGTTGTGTGGTGTTCACCTCTGTTATTCCAACATTTATTTGGAATATTTAGCTGCCAAAGCCTATGTTTATATTTAAGTGAATATATGTGTAAATAATCATATTCATATATTCCTGTTATTGAGCTGATTTTTTAAAGCCTTTTATTTGAGCTGAGTTACTGTGTTTACATAGAAAATATAAATGGACAAACAATCTCCCAGACGGACGTAAGTGGGCTGCTGGGCTCAATTGATACACATCCACCATTAGATAATGTTCCCCTTTCACTCTACACTACGCGGGGAAGGACTTGTTCACTTTTAACAACATCATAAATTGTTGACTAATCTACAACACGCGCTTAAAGAGACCTTAGTTGTTGAAGCGCAGTATTACATCATTCATAACATAAACACTCGCTTAAAAAGACCTAAATTGTAGAAGCGCAATAATACATTATAACGTCACTAACCCACCGTTCGAATCCTACTCTCATTTGGATTCTAATGTACATATTTACTAGGTATTAGCATAATTAAAATCACAAATACTGTGACTTGTCTTCGTTCAACAGAAAATCCTTCTGTGTAATAATAATAATAATAATAATAATAATAATAATAATAATAATAATAATAATAATAATAATAATAATAATAATAATAATAATAATAATAATAATAATAATAATAATAATAATAATAATAATAAATCGATTATCCTTTGAATATTCTATAGAAGAATGATTATATTTTCGTTGTTAAGAAAGATCAACTAAGAGATGGATAAGCGAGCCATTTAACTAATCAATAATCCGCAACAAATTGAACTAGTTTAATTATCCATGACGCTTTCCTACCAAAATCTGAATTATCCATAAACTTCGAATTATCCAAGAAATTTGAAAATTATCGATGAAATCTGGACTAAATCCTGTCATGTAAAGTTGATAAATTTCCCGTCAAAATAATTCCTATTTCGGGATGCTGGTGGTAGAGTGGTACCGCTCTTGCCTTCGGGCCGGTGGAAGTTGTTTGGACATACTTCCTAGCCCCCATTAGTCCCTGTTCACCTAGCAGTACAGTAGGTACCTGGTGTAAGTCGAAAGTTGCGAATTCGTATTCAGGGACAAGTTGTTGGAGCTTCCAATAACTTGATGACATAAACCATTAACTCTTCAGGCTTCTATGCCCTTGACTCTTCAGGCTTCTACGCCCTTAACTCATGAGACATAAGGCAAGCATGAACTTAGCATACTTCCCTGTTGGGCGCTTCACCTTACACAAGGATGTAGGGGAGTGTCCAATAAAAAAAAAAGTAAAATAAAAAAAAAAATCGTATATCATGTATCATTACAAATTATATAATGTATCAGAGATTTAACATATATAGATACATGTGAACCGAATTATATTACTTTATTGAGAAAGGTAAGAAATTATATATATATATTAAATGTAACTAAAGACTCGCTAATCATTTTACTGGCGGGTGATGTCCAATGACTGGCCGATCATATCAACAACAGATGTTGCCTAATCATATTTTTTAATGTTGGAAAATCAATTAATTAATGAAGAATATAAATTTATTTAGGTGATTCGAAAAGAGAAAATAAAATATGAAAAGAAAGAAGGAAGGAAGGAAGGAAGGAAGGAAGGAAGGAAGGAAGGAAGGAAGGAAACATAAAGAACGAAGAAAAGATAAAAATAAGGAAATTAACAAAGAAAACAGGAAGAAAGTAAAGAAAGAGCAAGATAGAAACACGCAAAAAATAGTGAAAGTGAAAGAAGAAAGTAAATAAACAAAAACTGTAAATAACATTGATGATGTGTTAAAGGAATATCCTTCCTTCCTTAGGCTTTAGTAAGCCCCTTTATAATATTTATACTGTATATACTTGTGACACTTGCCAGATGCTTCTGGTGTCATTGTACAGGGGTACCTAGTGACAGCACTAGGATCCCGCTTCCTCTATCAAGGAATAAACTATTGAAATTGAAAAAAATTAACAAAAACTAAAGAAAGAATATTAATCAAGACATAGTTTAGACGGTAATAATCAAGACATAGTTTAGACGGTAATAATCAAGACATAGTTTAGACGGTAATAATCAAGACATACTTTAGACGGTAATAATTAAGACATACTTTAGACGGTAATAATCAAGACATAGTTTAGACGGTAATAATCAAGACATAGTTTAGACGGTAATAATCAAGACATACTTTAGACGGTAATAATCTAGCCTCAGATAATTGATGATAACTTAAACAACAGATGGACAAAAAGCCAATTAGATGATTTACGGATAATTCACTTTGATAATTCATGGATAAATTATATCTTATTCAGCTACTGATAATCACAGGAGACTCTCACAGGATACTCATAGAAGACTCACAGGAGACTTACAGGATAATAATAGGAGACTCTTACTGGAGACTCTTACAGGATACTCTTACAGGAGACTCTTACAGGAAACTCTTACGGGAGACTCTTAAGGGAGACTTTTACAGGAGACTCTTACAGTAGACTCTTACAGGAAACTCTTACGGGAGACTCTTACAGGAGACTCTTAAAGGAGACTCTTACAGTAGACTCTTAAAGGAGACTCTTACAGGAGACTCTTACACGAGACTTACAGGAGACTCTTACAGGAGACTCTTACAGGAGACTCTTACAGGAGACTCTTAAAGGAGACTCTTACAGGAGACATACAGGAGACTCTTACAGGAGACTTCTACAGGAGACTCTTACACGAGACTTACAGGAGACTCTTACACGAGACATACAGGAGACTCTTACAGGAGACTTCTACAGGAGACTCTTACACGAGACTTACAGGAGACTCTTACACGAGACATACAGGAGACTCTTACAGGAGACTCTTACAGGAGACTCTTACACGAGACTTACAGGAGACTCTTACAGGAGACGGAGACTCTTACAGGAGACTCTTAAAGGAGACTCTTACACGAGACATACAGGAGACTCTTACAGGAGACTTCTACAGGAGACTCTTACACGAGACTTACAGGAGACTCTTACAGGAGACTCTTACAGGAGATTCTTATAGGTTACACACAGAAGACTCTCACAGGAGACTCTTACAGGTTACTCATAGAGGACTCTCACAGGAGACTCTTACAGGTTACTCACAGAAGACTCTTATAGGTTAAACACAGAAGACTCTCACAGGAGACTCTTTCAGGTTACTCACAGAAGACTCTCACAGGAGACTCTTACAGGTTACTCATAGAAGACTCTCACAGGAGACTCTTACAGGTTACTCACAGAAAACTCTCACAGGAGACTCTTACAGGTTACTCATAGAAGACTCTCACAGGAGACTCTTACAGGTTACTCATAGAAGACTCTCACAGGAGACTCTTACAGGTTACTCACAGAAGACTCTCACAGGAGACTCTTACAGGTTACTCACAGAAGACTCTCACAGGAGAATGGAGGCTCCCAAAAGGTATATTATATAGGTATATGTACACACTAAGACTCTTCTCTCTACTGTACAGAATATTGTGAGTACTATGTTCATATTGTTAATCTTACTTTGGAGTCTATGTGGGACTGAGACTCACAGAAATCTCACAGGAGACTCACAGAAGACTTATAGGAGACTTATAAGAGACTTACAGAAGATTCATTTGAGACTTTACAGGAGAGTCATATGAAATTCTAATAAGACTCACAGAAGACTCACAAAAGACTCATGGGTGGCTGACTCAACATACTCACACCCGCACCAGAATAAGATAGTTACTGCGGGCAGGAGTCTGGCGAGGTGTTGATAATTTATTCACCTGATTATGGAGCTCAATAAAAAAAATTATTGTACAAGATATCATAAAGCGGCTTGCTGCAAGAAAACAACTCGGGTAATCGTTTGACATGTATTTGGCAGGACTGCTATCAACGTGAATTGTGACAGTACAGCATATTTTTTAATAATGTCTGAATCAACATTTCACCTGTCTTGTAAAGCTCAAAAGACACAGTTGCCGTGTATGGGGATCAGAAAACTATCTTTCGTTTCTGAACACGAGCTTGATAGTCCCAAAATAAACGTTTGGTGCGCACTCTCATACAATCGTGTGATTGAACCATTTTGCTTCCATGAGAACACTGTGAACTCTGCCACTCACATACTGTAGATATGCTTGACTTTTATGCTGTACCTCAGCTGGAAGGTATGCAGCCCCATGTGTTCTTTAAGCAAGATGGTGCACCACCACACAAGTGCGTGATTTCCTCGATGAAAACTTCCCTACTCGTTGGATCGGGCGCGGTGGTCCCGTTCCGTGGCCTCCTCGTTCCCCGGACATCATGCCTATGGAATCCTTTTTATGGGGCTACGTCAAGGACAAGTTGTATGAGAAAAGGATTAATAACATCACAGAGTTAAGACTCCGGATTGAAGAGGCCCTGGCTTCCATCACGCTAGAAATGCTTCAGAACACCTGGAATGAAATCAGCTGCCGTCTTGATATTCTACGTGCTACCAAAGGGCCCATCTGGAGGTTTACTGAGGTCCAGTTATGTGTGCACAAATACATATCAAAAGATTACCTGAGTTCCTTTATTAACTGCACCAAACTGTTTTATGATATATTTTACAGTAAAGTTTTTATTGAGCTTCATAATCGGGTGAATTATTTATAGACACCCTGTATTTATTTTATGGTACGGACGTGAGAGAGAAGTCTGAAGAGTGCTCAGGTCTACAGCGCCTCACACTCACTGCTAGGAACGTCAAAACACAGAATAAATTAGTGGGCGAAGATGGGCTATATATACAGTGTCAGGCGAAGGGGAGGGGGAGCACTTAGCCGCTATGTTGAGGCACTTCTCTATTCGGATTTAGATCGATCACTCACTTGTCTCTTCGTTAGTGAGATCCCTGCCTGTCTGTCTGTTTGTCTTTCAGTTACACTCCCCAAAGAGCGATCGATCACGAATTCGAGCCAAAAAAAAAAAGAAGGTCAACAGATAAAGACAGAGAATCAGCTTCCAGGCGCCATTGTTGTTGTTGTGGTAGTGGTGTTCGCTGTTGTTGACATCTTTTTCCTTCTTCTTTCCTTATTTTTCCTAAACCTGCGTCTTCTCCTTTCTTTCCTTCTTCTGTTTCTAAGCCGCGTCGCCTTGTGCTTCCTTCTCCTGCGTCTCTGTCTGTCCTTGTGTTTCTCCTTCCTGCGTTTCTTCTTCTTCCTTCGTTTGGTGGGTCTGAGGGTGGTGACGGAGGTGGTGTTGGTAAGGGCGGTGCTGGTGGGAGGTCTCGACCCCCACGGCCAGCTACTGTTACCCACGGCTATTTCGTTACCTGCCAGATCTGGTAAGAGGGATAGAGGTCTTAGAACAGTAAAAATTAAATGAAAATTAAACATTAGAAAAATTAGTAAATATAAAAGATAGATATTCGTATAAACTAACAAAATATAGGTTATAAGTATATCAAGGGAGAGATCAATAACGAAATTCGAATCAACATATAAATACAAAATAAAACTAAAATATAGATTAATATAAACTAAAGATAATATAAATCAAATAATAGACATGGATCATTGAAGAAACACAAAGATTAGGTAAACATCACCAGAGAGGCGTTGGTGAAACTGACTCCAACAGAGATACGTAAACCTGCTGACGGTGACGCTAATGACCAACACCCTATATCATATAACACTTTATTATACTCAAGCTATTTAAAGGCTAATGGAATAAAAACAATAATTAAGTATTGGAGATTTACAAAAAAAAAAACTAATTAGACGATGTGAGCATTAAGCATTTTAAATACTAATAAGACTTTCAGATACCCATTTATCAACTAATTTAAAAGCCATTTAGTGTGTGTGTGTGTGAGAGTGTGAGTGTGTGTGTGTGTGTGTGTGTGTGTGTGAGTGTGAGTGTGTGTGTGTGTGTGTGTGTGTGTGTGTGTGTGTGTGTGTGTGTGTGTGTGTGTGTGTGATGGTTGAACTATCTGCCTAGATTGGTGGATAATCTCTGTGTGTAATGAACTGTGCACAAAAGTTGAGGGAAGGCAAGACAGACAGACAACAGACAGACAGACAGACAGACAGACAGACAGCAGACAGACAGACAGACAGAGAGACAGACAGACAGACAGAAACTGATTCTGGTACATGGAAAGAGACATATATGGCAGTCAGACAGATAGATAAACGGACAGACAGAGACAGACATTCACTGGCAGACAGACAGACAGATACCACACACACACACACACACAGACAAATGGACATATACAAAAAGACATATCAAGGGATGAAAAGTGTTTTTGAAGTAAGATTAAATAATTGATAACATTAGCATAAGTTAACAAGAAATTTCCTCCAACCAGCAGGAGGAAGCGAAGGATGGAGGTAGGGGAAGGGTGAGGGAGGGAGAGAGAGGGAGAGGCGAAGGATGAAGAATATGAGAGAGAGAGAGAGTCAATAATAATGATAATAATAATAATAATAATAATAATAAAAAAAAAAATAATAATAATAATGATAATAATAATAATAAGAGGTGTTAAGGCAGCAGGCAAGACCACCGCCCAACACCCTCACGTAATCAATTGATCCACCGAGATAGCTGTGATGGGTACCGCCTCTCTCACGCAATTCTTCAACCTTCTCCCCTTTTTCTCTCACCCCCTCCTCGTCTATTCTTCTCTCGCCTCTTTTTCCTTCTCCCTTTCCTCTTCTATCATCCCCTCCTCCTCTTCCTCCTTCGCCTCCTTCTTTTTTACCTCTTCTCTCACCCTCTCCTCGTCTCCTGTCACCCTTACTATTCCTCTTTTATCATTCCCTCTTTCCCCTTCTCGTCTCTTCTTCTCTCGCCCCTCTTCCCTCTCCTTTTCTTTTTTCTCATCTCTCCTCTTCTATCACACCTTCCCTCAATCCTCCTCGCTTCATTTGAATCGGCGCTCTGGGACACAAACTACCGCAGTTGCCCCTCCAAGATATCGTTTTCTAATCTATGGGTAACTTTGGTATTTTGGAATTTAATCTGTCTTTTTCCCCTTGATGGATACATGAGCTTTTTTGTGTGTGTTTGAGTGAACCAGGACGAGAACACCATTAGATGTGACTGAGTTGGGATCGTCTTTATGGATTAGGGTTATATTGGAACACGTGATTACTGTATATGTTAGGGTTCTGTGCTATAGTAAGTTATATGTGATTTAACTTTTTTTTACCACACCTCCCCATCTCGTCCATCCCACAAAACAACTTCATTATCTCCGTCATCTCCTCCTCCACCTCCTTCCCTACCTCTACCATCTCCTCCTCTCTCCACCATATCCCTCCCATATTCTCCTCCCTTATCTCCCCACCTCCTCCTCCTCCCACCACCTTCCTCCACTTCCTCCTCCCTCCCATCTCCCCACCCCCCTCCTCCTCTCCTCCCTTCCCTCCCCAGCCCTCCTCCTCCCTCCCCCATCTCCCTCCCACCTCCTCCCTCCACCCCCATCTCCTCCCCCACCCCCCTACCGTCCTCCCCATCTTCCCTCCTCCCCCCCTCCCCCATCTCCCCTCCCCACCCCTCCTCCCCTCGCCTCCCCATCTCCCCTCCCTTCCTCCCTCCTCTCCCTCTCCTCCCCACCCCCCTCTTCCATCTCCCATCTCCCCTCCCCCCTCTCCTCCCCTCCCTCCCCATCTCCCTACCCCCTCCTCCCTCTCCCTCCCCATCTCCCCTCCCCCCTCTCCTCCCTCCTCCCTCTCCCTCCCACCTCTTTATCTCCCATCTCCCTCTACCCCTCTCCTCCCTCTCCTCCCCACCCCCTCTTCCATCTCCCATCTCCCCCTCCCCTACACTCTCCTCCCTCTCCCCCATCTCCCCTCCCCCCCTCCCCCCCCCCACACACACAACACACCGGGTCTGGGTGGCATGTACTACACACCACTTCACATGACCAGGCCGCCGTACTCTCGATAAGACCAGTGAGTGACGATCAAGGGAGCTAATGAGTGTGTAGAACCAGGTATGGATCAAGAGCCCCTAATCACACGTGAGGGCTACCTGCCGCACCTTGCCTGATTAAGATGCTAATCACCTGAGTCCCCCCCTCCCTCTCCATCTCACTCCCTCCTCCCTCTCCATCTCACCCCTGCTCCCCCCTCATTCCATTTCCTGTTCCTCTCCATCTCTTCCCCCTCTCACTCACATCTCCTCCCCTCTGCTCCCCGACCTCCTGCCCCCCCCCCCCTATAGGAACACATACAAGGGGTGTGGACGGGGCCTCATATCTGGGTGAATAGCCAGGGGCCAGTTTTTGTCGAGTTATCTTCCCCTCCTCCCTTCTATCCCCCTTCCTTCCTCTGCCTCCTCCCTCCCTCCTTCCTTTTTCTCCTCCTTTCTTTCTCCCTCTTCCCCCTCTCCTTCCTTTCTTCCATCTCTTTCCCCTCACTTTCCCTTCCTCTTTACCCCTCTCTTCCTCCTTTCCTTCTGTCCTTCTATTCTTCCTTCCTTCTTTCTTTCCCCTTCTCTCTCCCTCCTTCTCTATGCTCCCCCTCCCCCGTAAACCTGCCGTCCCATAAAGGGTAGTGTAGGCCTACAACACGCTATAGACTAAGCCTTTTCAATTCTACACTGCACTCGACTGCTCTCACTTCCCCGACCGTGAAGTCAGGTACCTTTCACAGCTGGGTAAACAATAAACAAAATAATGCGATGAATGCACGAGGCTTCTGTGTTGACGACAGGTATAGAGTAACACAGGTGTAGAGTAACACAGGCGTAGAGTAACACAGGTGTAGAGTAACACAGGTGTAAGGTAACACAGGTGTAAGGTAACACAGGTGTAAGGTAACACAGGTGTAGAGTAACACAGGTGTAGAGTAACACAGGTGTAGAGTAACACAAGTGTAGAGTAACACAGGTGTAGAGTAACACAGGTGTACAGTAACACAGGTGTAGAGTAACACAGGTGTATCGTAACACAGGTGTAGAGTAACACAGGTGTAGAGTAACACAGGTGTAGAGTAACACAGGTGTACAGTAACACAGGTGTAGAGTAACACAGGTGTAGAGTAACACAAGTGTAGAGTAACACAGGTGTAAGGTAACACAGGTGTAAGGTAACACAGGTGTAGAGTAACACAGGTGTAGAGTAACACAGGTGTAGAGTAACACAGGTGTAGAGTAACACAGGTGTGGGCGGGCCGTGCTGGGTGGTCATGGGTGTATAATTAAGATGATGCTGTGTCATTTGATGAGTGCGTATTGTCTTCAGGGCCGCCCTCGCCTGCCATCCTGCCTATAATCCTCTATA